GTTTAGAGAGTGAATGTAGAGAAGAAAGATTTAGAGAGAAATAGAGGAGAGAGAGTGTAGAGAAGAAATGGAGAAGAAAATGAGTTGGGTCCATCTTTTCCTGATTAATATATTAATAAATTATCAAAATAATTAATACCCGATTTTTGATTAAATAAACTTCGTTCCTGAATTTTGAATTTGAAAGTTTAAGTATTTGATTTTTTTGTAATTTCCTCTTAAATTAAAACAATAGAATTGGGCCAGTAATCGGATAGTCCAGTGGGCCGAAGTTCACTTTGTTGACGCATCTATTTGTCTCTGCACAAGTAATAAACTGTAAATCTGGCTTTCCCTCTCTCTCCATCTTCCTCACTTCTCTGATCAATTCTGGAAACCTTGCTCGATTCTCTCAAAAACCCAGAGCCATTAACGTTCATTTGATCCGTTTCTTCTCTTTAAAAAATTTCTGAAAAATATTATTTATTATTTTTGTCAGTCCTTCTATTTTCTTTGATTTGCATTTGGAACGGTTCTGATTTGATCATGGACCCGTGAGGGAGATAAATAAAGGAAAAGATTGTATACTCTAATCGAAGAAGTTATTTATTTATTTATTAAATATAATAATATAATGAAATCACAATTATATAATTTATGGTCACGGGTACATAATGATAGGTCACAACTTATTTATTGATCACATATTAAATAATTAATTGGTCACATATTACATCAAGATCACAAATCAAAAATTTTATAGGTCACATTTTATTTTATTAGTCATAGACAAAAACATTATAGTCAATTAGTCACATATTTCCAAATTTGTTGGTCACAAATTATCGAATTTTAAGGTCACAGTTTATTTTTTTGATCACTGATAAAAAATTATAGGTCACAATTTATCAATCAGTCACATATTTTCAAATTTATTGATTACAAATTATCAAATTTAAGGTCACAGTTAAATAATTGGTCACAGATAACCAAACCCTAAACCCAATCCATTCATCCGACGACCCATTAACACACGATCCCAGTGCAAACGCCGACAACCCCATCACCTCCAAATCCCGATCCATTCATCCGACAATTTCCTCAAAACCTCGTCTCCTCCCCGTCATCTCCTTAAGCCAGATACCTCGTGTCCCCCTGCCGTCGCAATGCCGACAATCCCACACACAGATCTTCCCCGACAAAACACAACCATAACCAGTTAACCATAGCCAACAATAGTCAACATCCCACGACAGTAACAAAAACCATGGAGTTTCTTGTAGATCTGCTTCGCGTAGTGGTGGCCTGTGCCTACAGATCTCATGTGCGACTTGGCCACCATCACCACCACGAAGAGGTGTTCGTCGGAGTAGAAAGATGAACGACATGAAGCGACCTATGATGGTGGTGGTGGTGTCTACTTCGCGTGATCCACTCCGGCAGCTTTGAGTCTAACGGGTCCTGTCCGACAGAGAGAGAACTGAGAATAGAGATAGAGAAGTGAGCGAGGTAGAGAGTTAAGGGCGGCGATGGGAGGGAGGTGATGGGTTGGTTTAGAGAGAGAATGTAGAGAAGAAAAGTTTAGAGAGAGAGAGGGAGAAGAAAATGAGTTGGGTCCATCTTTCCCTGATTAATATATTAATAAATTATCAAAATAATTAATACCTGATTTTTGATTAAATAAACTTCGTAGCTGAATTTTGAATTTGAAAGTTTAAGTACCTGGTTTTTTGTAATTTCCTCTTAAATTAATACAATAGAATTGGGCTAGTAATCGGCTAGTCCAGTGGGCCGAAGTTCACTTTGTTGACGCATCTATTTGTCTCTGCACAAGTAATAAACTGTAAATCTGGCTTTCCCTCTCTCTCTCCATCTTCCTCACTTCTCTGATCAATTCTGGAAACCTTACTCGATTCTCTCAAAAACCCAGAGCCATTAACGTTCATTTGATCCGTTTCTTCTCTTTAAAAAATTTCTGAAAAATATTATTTATTATTTTTTGTCAGTCCTTCTATTTTCTTTGATTTGCATTTGGAACGGTTTTGATTTGATCATGGACCCGTGAGGGAGATAAATAAAGGAAACCTAACATATGAGATTAGCTTCTTCAGGGTATTGCCTCAGACACCCTTTGCCACAATTTTCTTGCTTTAGCTCTTAACGCGCCATTTTCCTGTGTAAAGGGTCCGAAGGAAATTTCGTTTAATATATTTTCTTATGCAAATATTCAATGTTTATGAATAATTGATTTCTTTTCCTGGCAAGTCTATTTATTGGATTTAGGGTCTTGTGTTTGGTTTGTTAATTGGCGAGTGTTAAAAGCCATAATAGTCTTCTGCCTAAGTTTTTCAGTTTATAGGATAATGGATTTCGAGTAAAAAGACAACGTTAATGGAATAGAAACAGTATTAGATGAACATTCTTCAGAAAATGGCTTTCTACTTTCTAGATGAGAGCTGTTCAAACATGAGCTTACTTGTTTTCATTGAAGCATGTTATTCGGAAATTATGTAAAATAATATATGTAAAACTATTGATGTGATATTCGCGTTCAATTTATCCATCTCTAGTGTTCTTATGCATCACTTTGTTGCCAAAATGACGATCTGGAGAATATATGACATTGTATACAGTATGGGTCCAATTTGTGCAATCATCTGTCTGAATAGAGTGTCATGGATGTGTTTCTTGTGATTGATTTGTTGTGAGATCTCAAGTCAATTAGCATTTGGGAGATTTGATACACGTTGACCAGAAAGTGAAACTATTATATGTGGAGCATGTGGTATCCACCTATATTTGCATTTCCATACTGTTGTTGAACCACCCCATTACGTTAAGGACATCCTTTTTCACGGAAAATTCCCCAAGTACAGGGATTCTTTCACAGAATTCCCACCGCTCGCTGACTGATTTTTTTGCCATCTACCAATCAGTCTGCGCCATGTGGAATCCTGTAAAACTTCTGTTGAAAAAACCCTTTACCTGTAGCATTGTTCATGGTTACAAGCCTGGCAAATGTTGACCTTTCTCTTTATTCAAGATTCATTTTCCTTAAACATTGATGGTGTTCGTTTATTTATAATATTAGAGAGAGAGGTCTTTACAGTCCAGAAGGATGGGACATTTGCTAATTGTATATTAAGAATAATATGTGATGGATGCAACATCAACGAGATTGGAGAACCTGTTAAAACTTGCTTAGTTAATTCTATGAAGAATTTTTGTGCTATTCTTTGTTCAAATGTATGTAATGAATAAAGGTGCACTGAGGAGAATGTCTATATTCCAAGTGACTGACTGGGCTTTATTTTAAGCCTTCTGGTTACAATATTTTCTTACTTTTGGTGATGAAAAATTAATTTTATGTTGTTTATGCGAGGACTGTTATCATTCGTGAGGCAAAATAGAACAATATTTAATAGCTTCACTTTATAAATGGCCTAGTTTTTCCTCTTCCATCTTTTTTCGCATAACAGCATCTTCATTCGGGGGAGTGCTAGATCACAAAATTACTTAGAAGTTGTACTATATGACAATTGCTTGCATTTATCTACTTGATACTTTTATAGGAGTCTGTTTAAAGTGTAATACTTTGATTACAATAACAAACGATTTAGCATGTCTGGGCAAGTGTTTCTAGGTGTTTAAACACCTTGATCAAAAAACAATTTTGATAAAACCACTTTTTATCCGCACATTTCGTAGAAGTGTAGAACCACAAGTACAAACCACTTCTCTGTCACTCATTTACCCCTGATTAAAATTCTTGCCAGACATAACCTTAATGAATTCAACAATGGACCCCTTTTTCTTTTTCTTTCCTCTTTCTTTTCTTTTCTTTTCTTTTTGTTTTTTTAATTTTATAATCAACTTGCTTATAGAAGAAGAATAGTAACTCTTAGATGAAATTAAAGTTTTCCTGAAAATTATAACATAAACATCTGGTACTTCCGACACTTGTAGGTATGTGTGTCTTTGCAAATTTTTTACTTAGTTCACATTGTGACAGTTATACCTCTGTGTTTTTTAATGGATAAATCATATTTCTATAACATTTGGTGCATAAATCATATCTATTACATACAGAATATCAGATATACGTGGCTTTATAGAAGTGTCTTGGACAAGTAGCTTCGTAGAAATACCGTGTCCTCTTGATGATATTTTTAAATTAGTTACTACATTATCGAAATTGTGTACGTTTTAACTCCGTGATACCAATATGTTATCTTAATATGTTTAGATGGACACTTGCACATAAAGTTCTAGATAGATCATGTCTGCACTGGGATTAGTTAGATCTTCATGGACAGACTTTTTCCCTGTAAAATTCTGCAACTAATCAGGATCGTTGACATTCTCCACTACCTTGTGAAATTTATGTAGTTCATTTGTACTGGTACCGTGTTGTGATGCCTTAAATACTTCTCTGCTGGCTTTAGTTTAAAAGAAGAGGGATGGAGATATAGCAAGGGGAGAGTATAGTGCAATTAAGGACTCCTCCTGCCAGATTAATAACTGTAATACACACTTAACAAAGAGTTGCTTGGACAAAGAATGTGAATGATAGACATGCTGAAATGACATTTGTATTGTAGATTCTACAACTTGGCTTTAATTTATCTGCAGTTTGAAAGAGAAAACTGTTCTGAATTATTTGTAGAAGTTTTGGTTTCTAATCCGTGCTTGATAAGCAGGTACCTTTAAGCTTTCACCTTTCTGGAGGACTGGATTTAAATCTGAGATAGCAAGTTTTACCTGCACCGTGGGCTTGTAAGAAAGCTGCCACTTTAGGGTAGTGGGAGTTACTACCTTTTGTGCAACTGAATCTGCCCTTTGAGTTTCTTCTGAGGACCTCCCTCAGATATTTTTTTCTTCATTTTGGGAAAGAACTGCAGTTTGATTCTTTTCGTGTTTAGCTCTTATCGATTTTGTTAGTTTGCTATATACATCAATTGTTAGTTTGCTATATACATCAATAAATATGGTCTGTTAGTGTGTTGCTAAAAGGTTGAAAGATGGAGCGTTACACAGACGAGGAACAAACTGAGGATTACCTCTTCAAGATTGTTTTGGTTGGTGATTCAGCTGTTGGTAAATCAAATTTGCTGGCTAGATTTGCTAGAGATGAGTTTTACCCTAATTCAAAATCAACTATTGGAGTAGAGTTTCAGACTCAGAAGATGAATATTAATGGGAAAGAAGTCAAGGCTCAGATATGGGACACAGCAGGTCAGGAGCGGTTCAGGGCTGTTACATCTGCATATTATAGAGGTGCAGTTGGAGCTCTTCTGGTCTACGACATCAGTCGACGCCAGACCTTTGATAGCATTGGCAGATGGCTTAATGAACTTCACAGTAAGCAACCTGACATTCAAACATGTCACTTATTTTTATTTTTGTGCCTTTTCTTTTTCCGTTGAAAATACACTAGGATCTTTCACCAGCTACTCATTACAATCATTATCAGAATGACATTCCCCACCGTAAAGATTAGATTTTTCTTCTATGTTGTGCTATTCTTCTCAAAAAATAAAAATTTTTTGGGAAAGGATTCAATTTTTTATCCCTGGATTATCTATAAGTTAATCGCTATGATGATGGATGATGATGGAGTCTTCCCTTATTGTTCTGCTTCATGCACTGGTCATTTTTGTAAGCTTATTTCTGCTTTAAGTTGTAGAACCAGAAACGGTTTAACATATAGATTATTAGATTTTATGAGTTGCTATGTTACAGTTGACTGTTAAACATTTTGCTTTTCAAATTGATGGTACTAGGAACTAATTAGAGTGTTTAATTTGGAACAGCTCATTCTGACATGAACGTAGTTACAATACTTGTTGGAAATAAGTCCGACCTCAAAGATGCTCGGGAGGTCACAACTGCTGAAGGCAAGGATTTGGCTGAGGCACAAGGCCTGTTCTTCATTGAAACTTCAGCTCTAGATTCCTCCAATGTTGCTGTTGCTTTTCAGACGGTAGTCAAAGAGATTTACAACATTTTAAGTCGGAAGGTTATTCAATCTCAAGAACTCAAACGCAAAGATCCTGGCTGGATGGCAGATGGGAAAACTGTAGTTTTACAGGCTGAGGGTACACAAGAAGTGGATGGACATGCGAAGAACGGTTGCTGTTGAGTTCTGTTGATCTGTAACCGTAAAGGAATTTCAGTTTCATGGACCTCTGATTCTCCCTTTCCACACATCATTTTTTTTTTTGTAGTTGTAACTTTATTTACTCTTACTGATTAAAATGTAGTGAACAGTTTTTGTTTTCTTTTTCTGGGCAATGGTAGAATCTATTTGGAATTTGTAGCATGCTTTTCTGACATATCAACTATAGGCACTGTAAATGAATTAATCCAATAACATGAAAAACGATTTATTTCAAATATTAAACTTGCCTGAATATTATGGCAAATAAATGAGAATGAGAAGACCTTACTGTAAGGTTTTGTGACCTCGACTTGGCCTAGGGATGGCAACATGACGGCTATGAGACGGGTCGGTCATTGTCAACTCCATTTCCATTAGGTATTTTTGTCATCTTATCCTATTCTCATACCCTGTTAAAATGGGACGGGATTGTGGTGGGGCGGGGCGGGGCAAATCCTTGACCCATTTATCGCCACATTTTTTTTTTTTTTGCTTTTATTTTTTAATATCTTTAATTAGTAAATATTATTACTTTTTTCTCAATTTGTTAAAAACAGCTTATACTCTTTAAAAACGATGATAAATATATTATTTTTGTTTGATAAAAAACTCAAATTTGAAATTATCTTTAAATTTGGCGGATAGCGGGGCGGGGACTATATTTTCCGTACCCACTTCGGGGCAATAACCCCTGCCCCATTTAGGTGGGTAATCCCCACCTATCACAGAGACGAATTCCAAGTAGAATACTTAGCCAAATTTCGAACCTATGATGGCACTAAGTCAAACTTAGTCAACCAACCCGAATTCACACAACACACACACACACGAAGTAAAAGGCAACATCAGGTAAAGAACACAATCTTTATGGGAGAATCCAACTTGTTTATTACTCAACAATAACACAAGACACGAGGGAAGACACTGAAAGATCACAACACTCTTGTGTCTCAACAGGTCTAGCCTTCAGTATTTATAGACCTAAAATCGTGTGCAGTTGACATCCCCAACTGCCAGAGTAATAGACCAACCCAGTTGGCCCGAAACTGCATCCCTTAACTAGTTCTAGCAACTGCCCACACTTTCCACTAGTTTGGACTCCGAAAAGTGCCCAACACATGTGCCCGACATGTGCTCCAATTGGACACCCGAATTTGTGGACTTCAGCCCACTAACATCAAGTTGGATCACCCCATGCCTTGCTAAGCTGCAACAATCTGACACCACCAAACTGAAGCACCTTTACCACGTTTTCCTTGATCCGAATCCGAAGTGTGCACCATCAACACACCATTCCCGGTTATAGGGCCGTACTCACGTTCCACTTCTCATGCCATCGCGCATGTCAACCTTTAAAGGGCTGACAAACCTTCCCACCGAAGAGTTCGACGTCCTCGTCAGAAGAGAATCAAGATACTCATTTACCTTATCCTTAAATTGCCATAGATCAACGTCACGTTCATAAGTTGCATCAATCCCAGTGCTACCTTTCCACAAAACAAGATAATTCATCCTTCGATTCTTCTTGTTTGTCCCCATAGTTCGATGCCCAATGATATTTGTCACCTCCTCTTCATACTGTTTTCGGATCATAGGAGGAGCCCTCTTAGCCTGCAAACGATCTTCCCCCATCAAACTCTCATTAAAGGCTTTCAAATAGCTGACATGGAATGTAGGATGAACTTTCAAACGATCGGTCAGCTTTAACCGATAAGCTACTTTTCCAACTCGTTTGATCACTTCAAAAGGACCATCATAGTTCTGGACTAATCCACGATGCACTGCTTTGCTACTGATCTTCTTCCAAATCTGAGGAGTCAGTTTCAGTAATACTTTATCCCCGACCTGGAACTCTACATCCTGCCTGTTCTGATCAGCATACTTTTTCATCCGTCGAGCAGCCTTCACAAGATTGTCATTTACTTGCTCCACCATCTCCTGTTTGTTTAGAGCAAATCGAAAAGCTGCTGGACATACACTGAATCCCCCTTCCTTCACAATTTCAAGAGGTGACTTAGGCATATGCTGTATAGTTAACTTTGCCGGACACATCCCCGTTGTAGATGATTGATGGAGATTGTAGCAAAACTGAGTTGTATCCAGTAAGGTAACCCAATTTTTCCGACTTGCTCTCACATAGTGTCTGAGATATTCCTCCAACAATGCATTGATCCGTTCCGTCTGACCATCTGTTTTCAGATGATTTGTTGTTGAAAATTTTAACTCAGAGCCCATCATGTTAAACAATGTAGTCCAGAACTTGCCTGTGAACCACGAATCCCGATCGCTCACAATATCGTCGAGCATTCCAAAGTACTTCACTACATTTTTGAAAAATAATCCAGCAACAACGTTCGCTGTACACTCGTGCGGAGCTGGAATGAAATCTGAGTACTTAGAGAATCTGTCCACCACCGCCATAATGGACTTTACCCATCAACCTTTGGAAAACCTGCAATGAAATCCATAGAAATCGACTGCCAATGCCTTTCTGGAACCGGCAATAGCTGGAGCAAACCTGCATCTTTTCTCCTTTCTATTTTATCCTGTTGGCACACTAAGCAAGACTTAACATACGCCTCTACCTCGTCACCCATCTTCGGCCAGTAATACGATTTCGAGAGCAAAGCCAACATCCTCTCAATGGCTGGATGGCCTGCCCACAGTGGATCATGTGTTTCCTTCAACAATATTTATCTCAGTCCTCCGCCGACGGCACATACAATTTGCTACCCTTGGCATAGATCAAGCCATCCTTGATCTAATACCGCCTTCCCTGATTTCCTGCAGTAGCTTAGTATAAGCAGTATCCTTTTCAGCCTACGGTCTGATTCTGTCAAGAAAATCTGATCCGACCGTCATCAAAGCCAAGTGCATCTGCAGCCTGATTCTGTTTGCCCGGCTTATGAACCCACACAACTCAGCAAAAAATTCCTGCCATCTCGCCTGTTTTGCCGACGGCTTCTTTTGAGACTTAAAATATGTATTGGCTACATTATCCGTGATAAACAGTGAATTTTGTTCCCAACAAATAATGTTGCCATGTCTCCAAGCAATGAACAACTGTGTCATCTCCTTCTCATGAGTTGAGTATCGATGTTCTGCATACTTTAATTTCCGACTTCCAAAAGAGACCGGATGGCCCTCCTGTACCAATACACCACCAATAGCACGATCAGATGCATCAGTGTGTACTTCAAATGGCTTCTCAAAGTCCGGTAATTGCAACACCAGCTCAGTTGAAACTGCCTGTTTAAGCTTCTCAAAAGCTCGTTGGCATTCCTTTGACCATTCCCATTTCCGATCCTTCTTCTGTAAATCCATCAAGGAGTTCACTTTCTTGGAATAACTTTGAATGAACCGCCGATAGTAGTTAGCTAATCCAAGAAACCAACGGAGTTCAGAAACCTTGGTTGGGCTCGGCTACTCAATGATAGCCTTCACCTTCTTCCCATCCATGCTGATCTTCCCTTGACCGACCCAGTGTCCCAAAAACATTACCTCCGACCGACAAAACTCGCATTTTTCCTTCTTGATATATAATTGGTGTTCTCTAAGCCGTGAGAACACCTTCCTCAAGTGATTAATATGATTACATAGTGATCTACTGTAAATCAAGATATCATCCAAATACACGACCACAAATTCATCCAAGAATTCACACAACACTTCGTTCATCAGATCGCAGAACGTGGCAGGTGCATTTGTAAGACCGAAGGGCATCACCAGAAATTCAAAAGAACCATACCTTGTCATGCAGGTAGTCTTTAATTCATACCCTTCCGCTATTCTTACTTGCCAATAACCAGACTGCAGATCCAGCTTTGTGAAGAATGAAGACTTCGCCAATCTATCAAACAGATCAGCTACATTCGGCACCGGATACTTGTTCTTCACCATCACCTTGTTCCGAGCACGATAATCCACGTATATCCTCATGGAACCATCTTGCTTTTTTTGAAATAGAGCTGGGGCACCGTAGGGAGCTTTCGAAAGCTGAATGAATCCCGCATCAAGTAAATCATCAAGCTGCCTCAACTCTGCCAATTTCGGGCCTATGCTGGAGCTTTTGCACCTGGTTCGAGTTCAATTTTGTGATCGATAGCATGACAGGACGGGAGAGTTCTTGGGAGTTCTGGGGGCATCACATCATTGAACTCATCCAAGACCCTTGCAACTTGATCAGGCACCTCCACAACCTGATCTTCTTTGATCTCTACCAACGCTGCAACAAATGTCATCTCCCCTTCTTTATACCCGCCTTTAGCTACTTCGCAGATTGCATGCTATCCTGAATCTGCTTTCCTTTGTTCTTGTTAAGATATCTTGCTGGTACGAAACACGGACTCTCTTCATTTGTAATGTATAGTCCATTCAAATGTGGTACCACAGACGCCTTCGCCTTGAAAAAGAACTCAACACCGAGGATCAAGTCAAAATCATCCAAGGGAAAGGTCATCAGATTGCACTTTCCCTCTCTTTCGCCCACACGAAGGGTGACTTCAGCATATCCCTTCACTGGCTATTCTGCAGAATTCACAGCCTTTATTTTCGTAGTCACCTGAGTTATGCTCAAACCCAACTTCTCTACAATCCTGGAACTTACAAAGTTGTTCGTAGCACCAGTATCCAACATTGCCAACACTTTCTTCCCATCAACAGACACCTGAACATACATCAAGCCGCGTTGTAGTGTAGTGATAGCATTCACCAACTGTAACAGATTCACACGTCATGGACCATATTCCGAACTGTCATCACTGCCTTCCAATCTTAAGGCATTCAGTTTCTCCCTCTTTGGACAATCCTTTGCACGATGGGGACCGTTGCAAATGAAGCATCCACCGAAGCTTTTTGACTTGAGATACTGATCACCATCCTTCGACTTGGGGGCCTCGAATTTCTTCTTCTTATCCTCTTTCTTCTAGTCTTTCGATGTACCAGCCTTCTTCTCATTGGTTTTCCTCAGAACATAGGAAGTACTGCCTTCCTCGGACATGTTCTGGATATCCAGCATTAGACTACTGAATTCCTTCACGTATTCCCTCAGACGACCTGCCTATAGCTTCGTCATCCTTTACTTGAGTCCACCACCATAACTTTGCATCTCCCGACAGATACATCGAAGTGATATTTACCCGCTTCTCCTCTGGAATACGAGCAGCCTTGGAGTACTGCTCTATATCCCATAGGAAGTTTTCCAACTCCTTGGCATTATGAGCATCATTGAACTGCTTCGGCTCAGAAACACGAATTTTTGAAGAACCGACTATATCCTGAACGGTAGTGCTGTTTGAGGCCAACTTTAGCAAGGAAATTTCACTCTCAAGGGCATCAAAACGAGCCTTTGTGTTATCCGCAAGTTCTAACAAATCCTTCAGGAATGAGGATTGCCTTTCATCGATTCAGCTTGTAAACTCCTCGAATTGAGCCCGTAATTCCGTGTGTATATCATTATGTGCATGTACTTGTGCAGCCAGACTAACTGCACTGTTGGTCATAGGAGCACCGACGAAATCCTCCAACCTAGAAACCCGATCTTTGAGATTCTGATTTGCAGCCATTTCAGTAAACGAAACCCAGCAACTGCAACCTGGCTCTGATACCAATTATCATAGGGACAAATTCCAAGTAGAATACTTAGCCAAATTTCGAACCTATGATGGTACTAAGTCACACTTAGTCAACAGTAGGTAAAGTACACAATCTTTACGGAAAACCCAACTTGTTTATTACTCTACAATAATACAAGACACAAGAGAAGACACTAAAGGATCACAACACTCTCTTGTGTCTCAATAGGTCCGGCCTTTAGTATTTATAGACCCAAAATCGTATGCAGTTGACATCCCCAACTGCCAGAGGAATAGACCAACCCAGTTGGCCCGAAACTGCTAGAAACTGCATCCCTCAACTAGTTCTAGCAACTGCCCACACTTTCCACTAGTCTGGACTTTGAAAACTACCCAACACATGTGCCAGACATGTGCTCCAATTGGACACCCGAATTTGTGGACTTCAGCCCACTAATAGCAACATGGATTAGCCCATGCCTTGCTAAGCTGCAACAATCTGACACCACCAAATTGAAGCACCTTTACCACGTTTTCCTTGATCCGAATCCGAAGTGTGCACCATCAACACACCATTTCCATAATATCCCGGCATGAGTGCAAGGTGTTCTCATGCCATCGTGTATGTCAACCTTTAAGGGGTTGATACAAAATCAGACCTGCCTTGATAAATGGACTGGGCCTACTCTAATTCTAAAGGATCTAATTGCAATAAAAATCAACTAGGAGGACTAAACTGTTAAATTTAGAACTTTTTAGATCAGATTGAAAAATATTTTTAACATTTTAGAGACTACTAATATGACTAGTCCTTTTCATCCTATTTGTAGAATCTAAAAGTATGGATTTAATAGTTATTATTAACTAACATGAAAAATGGGTTTGATTAGACCAGTCAAAGCTGACCCCCACCTAGCTCTGTCAAATTTACTTTAATTTCTTCCCCATAAACTTATATAAATGAAAAAAAAAAAAAAAGAAAGAAAGAAAAGATGGAGATCTTTTATTAAGAGTCCTTATGTTTGATATATGAGTAAGTAAAATTCGATATTTTGTAGAACTTTGACCCANCGCTGACCCATCTGGGTCGAGCCCATGCGGGTCACGGGTTGAGCGGATCGCGGTTTGTTTCGATTTGACCAATATTATTGTATAAATAAAATTATAAAAATATATAATTTTTCATATTTATAACAAAAATTATTTTTTTTTGTTAACTGTATACTAAGAATTGAACAAAATGATGAATTCATATTTATACCAAGAAATGTTTACATATAATTCAAATTTAATGTTATATGAATTATTTATAACTTTAAAAAGTTAAATTTAATTTAAACAAATAACAACTAAATGCATTTCTAATTACTATTATCAAATAAAAACTTTGCAAAGGCTGCAACAAGCTAGCTCAATGGCTCTCTCCTCCTCTTTATTTTCAAATTTTTTTAATTTTTTTTTCACGGGCCAGCGGGTTAACCGCAGCCCGTGAAGGTGCAACCCGCGAAGCTTGCGGGTTACACCTCCTTGACCCGTGAACCGTCCGCTCGGGTCACGGGTCGAACCTTTTGGCCAACCAATTCGTCTTGATACCTCTACTCATGAGTAATGAGACATCACCACATTAAGTATCAATGCGTTTTCTACCACCACATTTCCCTTGTTCTTTCGGGGATCGAACAACTTCATTAGATAATGTGTATGCACATTGAATAGGTTTCGTCACATATAGTTGGCTGGTGAGAAGACTCCAATGGTATTTTCTTTGGGAAAAGATAGATAGCCCGAGTTTGCACCCAGGCTTTGGTGACCGNTTAAGTATCAATGCGTTTTCTACCACCACATTTCCCTTTTTCTTTCGGGGATCGAACAACTTCATTAGATAATGTGTATGCACATTGAATAGGTTTCGTCACATATAGTTGGCTGGTGAGAAGACTCCAATGGTATTTTCTTTTTCCATCAATTGTTACAATTTGTAAATCAATAAAAAATACTCAGATAAATAAATTTACAATAGTTCTTATAACAGCGTCTGAATGATGGTGACCGATGACGTGTCATATAAAATGAGAGAAACAAAAAGTCACATAATTAATGTCATTTTAGGATCTCCTCATCAATGCGAGCCTAGATACGGACCTAACTGTCCAACCCCTTCATATGGACCACTAAAATAATGCTCTTTGTCTTGATAACTACTATGACTAATGATTTGAAAGCTCGTTTAAACCTAATATGTAATAGAACATGTCCCAATAATACAGGATAAAATTGAATAATATAATGAACAAGATTTTAACTTTTTTTTTTTTTGTTAAATACCTCCCTATCATATTCTCGTTTATCAAATACAAAGTATATAATTTTATCATCGTTCTTGTAAAATAAATACATTAAATCATGGTTTTTTTTTTAAAAAAAAAAGACTAAAAATAACTGATTAAGTTAATATAACGTGGGTTCTCAAAATAATGAGACTAAGCTGAAATAATTAGATCGTCATATAAAAAAAAATTGTTAGGCAACATACAATGGTGACCAAATAAAAACTTAAAATTTTAAGGGTGTCGTAACGACGCGACAAGTAAAAATTTCCTTGAAAGAGTTATAAGTTTTCGGTCGCTACAACCCTCCCCTCTAAAAGAAAATTTCGTGCTCTGTGGAAGAACGTAAATATCTGAAGTTCAAATTTCTACCACTCCAAATTGGTAATCCAATGAAAGAGAGGCAAAGAGAAGAAAATAAATGCATGAAAAATGACTCAATTTAGTAAATTAAGAGTTTCATAGCATAGCCAAGTAAATCAAACCTTCTGTTCAATCTGCCAACAAGAATTGAACCAGAAACCTACAGAAGAGACAGGACAAGAAGTTCCTCGCATGACATTTCAGTTCACCACAACTGCAAGAAAAAAACGCTAATGTCCCGCAAACCAAGTTCACATCTCGACAAAATTCAAGAAACAAGAACTATATTGGAAATCTCGACTTTAGACCACATAGAAAATCCTTTGAATCGCCTGGCGACAGGTTCGCTGATTTCTAGAACAGGTACTTTTGATAGCCTCTAAAATGTCCTTGTAGCCCGAAAAACCTCCACCAGGGACTATGAGTAATTCATGGTCCTTCATTTTTGTTCAACTAGTATATGTCATTGCCTACTATAAACTTACAGTATTCATACAGCAATTTGTTCTAGGCTGCAATTCCTGATGAACAATCAGAAACAAATTAGTACATCGGCATGGAATGTACACGATTACCTATTTACAGCATGCATCAATACAGCTTGTGAACAAGATATTTTCGTTATCTGTGAAACATGATATATTTATAACGATCAGTTCACAACGTTGATTAAAATACGAGAATTTTCGCTTCTCTATATGTTAAAATGTAAACCAGAAAACATTTAAATGGGAATGGGAACTACATAGAGAAGAGTATAGTAGAGTCGAGATATAAAATATTTACCTCTATTTGACCTAGTCGTAACACTATAACCACCTCCGTCATAACCAACAGAATTTTTAGGTGTAACATCTGCAGCTGCAGCTCCGAGCCCGTAACCAAAGAAGGCAGACTCTTCTAGCTCTGGAGACGATGAACGCCAAACAGGATCGCCATAAATTGAATTAGCTCCATACAAGTTCCCAAAACCGTCATCTTTGACCTCATTTCCAGCAGAATATGCTGATGTAATCACATTGTCTACAGTGTGTCTATTGTAACCTCCGCTGCCACCAAAACTATTTTGTCTGCTGCCATAGTTGCCAACATTACCACTGCTTAAAAAACCATTACCCCCACCTTGAGCTGAAACGGGGGAGGAGCCCCAAGTTCCTCCAATACTACCTAAACCACCAATGATGCCAGTATTACCACTTCTCGAACCATCGACAGTGTCAGAGGTCATAGAGTTTGTACCAAAATTAAGACTCTCATTGCCCCACATGTTTTGGTTTGTCGAATTCAACAAAGAACCATTTCCTCCATCACCCATATTATATCCAATGAGACTTCCATATCTGTTTTGATTTCCTCTATAGTAGCCGTTCATGCTGCGTCCATATCCCAACCCTGATTCTCCAGTCATCCCATAGTTTGAGCTCAACCCTGAGTCCAAACTTAGTCCCGTGCTATAACTGGAGGGGGTATATGGAAGATATCCACTCCGAGCTACAGATACCGGACTAAATCGACCTTCCATTCTCATGCCATAGCCTCCCAGTGAGATTGAATTATAGCCTTGAGTAATAGCATCAAGGAAACTGCTCGCCCTATTGAGACCATAGTTATATCCAGTTAATGGGCTTCGAGTTGGTCCTGGAGATAACTCCTTCGGAACAGCTCGTTTAACCTCAACCATTTTTCCATTAAGTTCATGAAAGGTTTTGAATAAAACTTTATCCACTGCCTCCTCCGAATCGTAAGTAATAAAACCAAAACCTCTAGGCCTTTGTGTATTATGGTCATACATGACCACAACATCTGTTATTGTCCCAAATTGATCAAAGTACCTCTTGAAGTCCATTTCTGTGACTGTTGATGCCAAGCCACCCACAAATATCTTTTTCGTGCGGGCAGGACCAGGCGATCCTTGCACACTTCCGTTGTTTCTGTTGAAATTTTGGTGATCGTCCCTAGGAACAGCCTTTTTTGCCTCCACCTAAAGAATCAAATGATCAAATGATGTAAATTAACTGCTATCAAATTTTCAAATTGTAGCATGGAAGACATTCTAATAATTACTTCATAAGGAGCAATATAAGAGATGCTGAAGAAAGCCCTTCTCTACAAAAACATGAATATTACGACCCTGCTGAAACTTCAGGGATGTGATGCTAATTAGCCTAAAGGTCAAAAGTAAAATGAATAATTTCAGCAATAGTGTTTTCTCATAATTGGTAACTCGACATGACTGTCTTAAGAACTACAGGAATTTCAAATTTATGCTTTAGTAAACTATTAGATGAGATCTGAATCAGTGTAAAACACACGTTCCACTTTGCCAAAAGGACCAAGGAATCCAAAAGGAAAAAGAAGAAAAAGTGCAGCATGTATAACAAATTGTCCCTAACTTCTCCAAGTGCTAACCACTTAGGAAGAACTTGACACCACCACCATATCCTACCTGTTCCATTTGATCGATAAATTCTCCGTGAATTAATTTACTGCATGCCCTAGAAATATCACATGTTCGTCAACATTAGTCCACCTTCTATGCGTACCAGTGCAGATGATGACCCACAAGTCTGCCTTATCTTAGTTAAAAGCAAACTACTCTGGGTCCTCATTAGCTTTAAGCTTATACTAAGATAATACATAAGCTTCCATCATGCAAATATAACAAAAGTACTCCAAATGAACTGTATTAGATTAATTCCAGTGGAAGTAGAGGAGGATATAATTGGACAACAGACGAATTATACACCAACCGCATGCCATCTTAATACATGATAATTATGCATCCTTAGCAGGTTATGGATCTGCCAACAAATATTGATTGGATTTTTCAATTAAAATGTTCGCAATTGAATCGTCAAATGCTTTGCAGAATGCGAATTCTTAACTTACAGTTCTTCCATCTATCGTGTGTCTTTCCCTGACAACTATTTCAGCGACAGAAGTATCTGCAAAAACAACGAAACCAAAACCACGGGCACGGCCAGTGGTGCGATCTTTCATTATCAGAGCTTCCACTACTTCACCGAAAGTTTGGAAATAGTTTCTTAGACGCTCTTCATTGGTCTCCCAAGAAATTCCACCAATGAACACCTTGCCGGGATTCATTTCCATTTCTGCACCCCTCGTTGGCAATCATCCAATAATTCCCAATTAATCAAATCTAAACCAATTGAATCACTACATTTGCATAATCACATAATAAATTTTCCAATCAATTAGATCATTCAAAGTAAAGAGCACGCAATGAATCTACCAACAACCAACCCAAAACTGGAGCATTAAACTACTTCATGAAACAATTTGATTTCCAATTTTTATACACCTTACTCAACAAAGTATCTATTATCAGAAAAGAATAAAATCAATATAAAACATGATAATGTCGATGAGTTAACAAAAACCATACCTGATTAATTAAATTACAATTTACAATATAAACTTGGAGATTTCTTGCACTTAAATGAAATATGGGCAATCTTTGATTCAGCAGGGAATCATATGATCTTTATCAGATCAATAGACCCAGAATCCAGAATCCCTGAGAAACAAGAAAGATTCAAACTTTGACTCGAAACAATCAAGAAAAGATCAATATGTAACAAAAAGCAAGCGTCAAGTTTCCAAAAGACAAAGACCCAGATAAGAAATGGATACAATTCAAGATCTAAGAGGAGGCATGGATTGAGAAAAGCAGAGGGCTTAGAGGCCCTCTTAGATATTTTTTCCTCCCTTTTTCGTTTTCTTGTTTATCAAAATCAGACTTTGCTTCAATTACCAAGATTGCATATTTATAGTATATTTTACATGGAAGAGAGAGAAAATAGAAAGGTAATGTGATAGATTTTCACTTCTCTATTGGGTAAATATAGTGTTGATGTGCGTGGTGCGTGCGTGCGTGCGGTTTACACCATAAGAGGGAGTTCTCTTTGGCTATCCTCTCGTGTAAGAAATGTAGACGATTGAAGCTGGTGACTAGGCCATATTGAGATTTTAGAATTTTCTTATTTTAAAAAATTCGAACAAAAAATGGCGTGCTGCACGTTCATTTTTTGAAATATTTTCTTTTTGAGGACAAATCTTTGCCATCAATAATATTTTGTGTATTATCCTCGTACATGAAAGTCTAGTTGTTTCTTGAACATGTTTATTACTTGCTCAGTTATCCAGCATTTACAATGTACTCTTTACATATTTAGAAACTCAACTAGTCAACTTACAATTAAGTAAATAATTTTTCATGGTTTTAAAAAAGTAAATTAATGCTAAACGTTAGAGGATAAATTTATTCAATTTTAGATTTAATATAAATTCATGATGAGTTACTTTTCGAGAAAAATAAGCTCTTGAATACCCAAAAATATAAAAAAAAGATAGAAAGTTGACATGTTATAAAAAAATTATATTGTTACAACGTTTGCATAAATGTTATCAAAAGTAGACATACGTTTCACTTCGTCTTTCTGTCGTTTATTATAAGATACATCTGTCTCCGTCAACAACACATTTATATTTTTAAATTTCAAAATGTTACAATATGAAAAAATTGTTAACATCGAGCCATGCATAAGAAGAGCGATTAATCCGGCAGAACAACTCTTTCTGTCGGATCGGTCGCTCAGGATCTTTGATAGAGCCCAGCAGAAATTACTTAAATTCTTTGTATTTCTTATAAATACATAACAAAATCCTTTCAAGAGATATACGAAGTAACATAAACAATAAATACAGAAAAAAAGGAGGGTAAACAATGGATAACATAAACCTAGAGATAGGACAAGCTCATCATTCATGTGAATGAATTTTCTATTTTTCCCCTTTGTGGCTTAAATATTGTTGGATAATATAATGGATTTGAGTGATGACGTTAAAAAAAATATATATCAACTTATCAATCTTACCGAAAATTGGATAGAGTAACGGTAATGATATGAGTGAAAACATCAAAGAAAAATAATGTCAAAGCAATACCAAAATAAATGTATGCAAAGTCGAGTTAAGAGTTAAATTCTTTATCCTTAAGTCGAATTTGCCCCACAACGATGTCCAAGGATGATGACAATCGACTCCCAAGATACAACGACAAACTTTGTGTGCTAGTAGCACTTCAAAATACAAGAACAACGAACATAAAATTGGTTTTTTGTACTCCTATGAAAAATGCAAAAACAACTTTTTATGCAGAATTTTGGTTAGGAAAAAATGAATTTAGTGTTATGTTATAATTGCATACCATTGGGATAAACAAATGGACATTCCAATGGTTTAATCTATAGAGGAAATGTTGTGAGTAAAGTGTTGCATTCCAAACTCAGTAACCTTTGTCAAGGGTTGTAGCTTTTGCTGTCGCCACTCACCCTTACGTCGCTCGAGCATCAGAAACAAAGACTCTATCGCTCACTTGTCGCTAGTATGTTGCTTGAGCGACAACCTCCTTGCTCGAGCGCGACGGAGTTGGACAAATTTTCAGTCAGTTTCTTCTCTTTTCTTCAAACTTTAGATCGTAATTTCTCATTCACTTGAAATTGATTTGGAGATTCCAAATGTACCACGATAATCTATTCGATGAGTAGAACAAGTTAGTTTATTTATTTTCATATCTTAACTATCGGATCAAATTCGAATATTTGGTCGAGGTGACACAAAAGTCATTTTTCATGAATTTATACCTAACCAATTCCAACAAATATCAATATTATTATATTAACTAAACTTTTAACAAAAAAAAAATAGAAATTAATATTTTGTTTTTCTTCAAAAAATTTCCACACGTTTGCTTCATGTGGAGGCAAGGCATTGAGCCATAAACAAGATGGCCGGTGGTGTCTGTCCTCACTTGCTACTTCTACTGTATTAAATTGTCATCATTGATAATCACTTTATATGGTTAAATTTGGAAAAAAGAAAAAAGAAAAATAAATTAATACTAATAAATCAAATTAATTTAGAATTGCTTGGAAAAAGGGATTTCATAAAATTTAAATAATATATATAATAACAGAATACTGCAAATTTAAAATTATTGGGAAAATGGGTTTTTATTTTTATAAAAAACAGACTTTTTATCAACTTTAGAATATAAAATTGTAGATAAAGTGGGAGATGTGTGAAGGACAGAAGGGATTCCTTGTGTACCCACTCATCTAATTCATCAAACACTAATACACATGTGGCTAGGCACCCAAGGATTTACATGATTTTGATTTATATTTTTAATTTTTTTATATGTAATTAACTAATTATAATTAATTAATTATTTTACCATTTTGTAGAAGTTTTCTGAATTTAAGAGTCAACAATTTTAGGTGGTGACCTATTTTAGAGTTGAACAGATGGTAAGAAATTCAGTATTTTGGTTATGTTCAGAACATATTGGGCACCTAAAGACAGGCACCAAACCTAAGAAAAGATGAAACAAATGTCTGTTTTTTATCATGTGGGG